CCTGATGGCCCGCTCCCGTGTTGCCCCTAAACGCATTCTCTCCATACCCAGACTCGAACTGTGTGGTGCCCTCTCTGGAGCGCACCTCTCCCGTCTCCTTAGAAATGAGCTCACCCTGGACATGGAGAGAATAGTGCTGTGGTCTGACTCCACCACTGTACTCACCTGGTTGAGGTCCGAGTCATGCCACTTCAAGGTCTTCGTTGGCACCCGCATGGCTGAGATCCAGGAAATAACTCAAGCGCACACCTGGCGCTATGTGGATTCAGCCCAGAACCCGGCGGATGGTATAACCCGTGGGAAGACCCTTTTGGACCTGGCCAGACCCAACAGATGGAGACAAGGGCCTCCTTTCCTGCTCCTACGTCCAGAGCAGTGGCCTCCAGAGCCGAGTGGCACCCTGGCTGAGCCACCAGGCTCATCTGAGCTCCGCAAAGAGACCTTTTGTGGAGTTTCTACCACCTTTGACCCCGCCACCTCGAACTTCAGCAGATATGACACCTGGGCGGAGCTGCTGGAGGCGGTTATTACACAGCTGCGTGGGGCAGCCAGAGGCAGGGGAACTTCATCAGCTCAGGACTATATTAAAGCGGAGAAGCACGTTTTGAGAGAAGCTCAAAGGGAGAGCTTTCCTGAGGAGTATCGGCTCCTTAAGTAGGGGAAGTCTGTCCGTCGCAGTAGTCGTCTCCTCGCACTGTCCCCTGAGTTTGACCGTGAAGATGAGGTTATCCGTGTAGGGGGACGTCTCCGCCGCTCTGAAGATCTTGCATTTACCAACTCGCACCCCTTAGTTTTGGATCCGACACATCCGGTCACCAGCTTGCTCATTCAAGATGTCGACAGTCATCTGCATCATCCAGGACCAGAGAGAGTTTTCGCGGAGATTCGGCGCACTCATTGGATCCTGAGAGGCAGGGAAGCGGTTAGGCGTTTCCAGAGGACCTGTCTTGAGTGTCGCAGATGGAAAGCCCAACCAGCGGTTCCCAAGATGGCTGACCTGCCAGTGGCGCGCCTTCGCCTTTACAAACCTGCCTTTTATTAGACAGGTATGGACTGCTATGGACCCTTTGAGGTCAAAATCGGGCGCCGTGTGGAGAAAAGGTGGGGCATCATTTTTAAGTGCCTTACTATCAGAGCGGTCCACCTTGATGTCTTGATCTCCATCGACACAGATGCCTTCCTAATGGCACTTCGTCGGTTCGTTGCCAGGAGAGGGACCCCAGCTGAGTTGTACTCAGACCAGGGAACCAATTTCCGTGGAGGAGAAAGGGAACTTCAAGTAGCTTTCACGGCCATGACCGCTGACCTGCAGAAGCTCCTGGCTCCCCAGAAAATCGTCTTCCACTTCAATCCACCAGCGGCTCCTCATTTTGGGGGAGTGTGGGAGCGGGAGATTAGATCTGTCAAGACGGCGCTCTACACTACAGTAGGATCTCAACCCATACAAGAGGAGGTCCTCCGTACGGTCCTTGTGGAGGTGGAGGGCATCTTAAACTCCAAACCACTAGGTTATGTCTCGTCCGACATCAGTGATCCTGATCCAGTGACTCCCAACTGTTTTCTGATGGGGCGGCCTGATGGGGCGCATCCTCAAGTCGTTTACCCTAAAGAAGAGCTCCTGAGTCGCCGCAGATGAAAACACTCTCAGGTGCTGGCTGACCACTTCTGGTCTCGATTCATCCGACTGTACCTTCCAAGCCTACAGCTTCGCCCGAAATGGCAATCATCCCCCGCGGACGTCACTGAAGGTTCGGTGGTGATGATTATAGATCCTCAGCTACCCCGCGCTTTCTGGCTCCTGGGTCGCATCTCCAAGGTCCACCCCAGTCCCGATGGGTACATCAGGTCTGCTGACGTCAAGGTGGGAGACAGGACCTTCACCCGACCTGTGGCGAGGCTGGTGGTATTGCCTGCCCTCCCGGACGAAGACAAAGGACAGTCACAGTGACTTTATTAGAGAAGTTACCTTTTGTTGTGAGCAAATGTACTTCATACATTTGGGGGCGGCTGTACAAAAGGCCCCATAGTTGAGAGTTCTCCTTTCTATTCTGTTCAGTTGTTCACCTGTAGTTTCTTAGAGTGACCTGTAGATGTCACCCCACCACTTTGGATGGGAGAGGTTTTGGATAGGTGGATACGTGGGTGAGATCTATTTGAGTGTGTTTGCCCCGATTATCAGCAGAGAAGTCATTTCGTGAGAAGTGTGCGTTACTGAGCAACAGACCACACACACACACACACACATACACCTGTACCTAAACTTTTATGTAACATCTGCTCCTCCAACAAGCCTGTTACCTTTGACTGTGTGGGGGCAATACAAGAGTTTAAACCATCCTGGGCGTCTTCGGTGTCTTCTTCCTGAATCACCATCAGGGCCTAGAGTAGTGTTCTGGCCGACACTCCGGGGAGTGGCAGCTGCAAACCTGAATCAACACCTTACAGTCCTCCCCTTCCGGGTTATCTACCCAACACATGGCCTCAGATAAGAATCTTGTGTCTGTTCTAGTCTTGTTAGAACTCAGTGCTGCCTTTCACACAGTTGATCACAATGTTCTTGTAGAAAGGCTTGAACATGTTGTAGGGATCAATGGAACAGCGCTAGGCTGGTTTAAATCCTACCTGTCTGATAGGTTTCATTTTGTAAATGTACATGACAAATCTTTTTCATACTCCAGGGTTACTTGTCGAGCAGGGGCGGCGTTAGGCCCGGGTACTTGGGCTGAAGCCCTGGATCTTTAATCAAAAGCCCCGGATATCAAACGTGGAAGTAACATGCAGTACCAAAGTCCAACAGAGAGGGAGCAGCTAGCAGTAGTTTGTATACAGCCTGCCTGAGCCTCCACCACTGAAGAAGAAGCCCTTCAGCAGCCAGGTTCTTGTGCAGTGCCTGTCTTTTTCTACACTCTGCCTGAAACGCATGTGTGAAGATGGACATGAGGACGTTTTTTAGACCAAAAGTACGGCGACAGAACCCCAGCTTTGATGATACTGGTGTTAACTCAGGTTTGTGAGTCTTATTTGAAAATATTTGTTGTGGTGCTGGTTTGCCTAAAGTTAGCTTACTATCAGGTAAAGTTGTTGGAGAAAGAAAGGGAATATTTACTATCATCTCACACTAAACACTAACAGGAACAATACTCTGCCCTGAATATGCTTAATATGTAGCTTCAGATTAAAAATTATGTGGTACAAGACAAATATATATGTTGACTAGTGCGTGTCACGTGTGTGTGCGTGCGTGCGCGCGCGCGTGTGTGTTAAGCCCCGGATCTTCTTCAGTCCTTAATCCGCCCCTGTTGTGGAGTACCACAGGGTTCAGTGCTTGGACCAATTCTTTTTACTATATATATGCTCCCAATTGGTAAAATCATTAGACAGCATGGGATCAACTTCCACTGTTATGCTGACGATACTCAGTTATATTTATCCATTAACCCTGATGAACCTAATCGGTTGGGTAGATTACAGGCTTGTCTTGAGGACATAAAAAATTGGATGACTCAAAACTTTTTGCTTTTAAATCAAGACAAGGTGGAAGTTCTCATCTTTGGACCAGAAATCCAGAAAAGGAAATTGCTTAGTCAATCACCTGACATGAATGGCATTACATTAATCTCCGAGAACTAAGTAAGGAACCTTGGTGTTATCTTTGACCAGGACATGTCATTCAAATCCCAGGTTAAACAGGTTTGTAGGATTTCCTTTTTCCACCTTCGGAATATTGCTAAGATTAGAAGCATCCTTTCCAGGAGTGATGCTGAAAAACTAGTTCATGCATTTATTACATCAAAACTGGATTACTGTAATTCATTACTCTAAGGAAGTCCACAGAATGTAGTTAAAAGTCTTCAGCATGTCCAAAATGCTGCAGCTAGAGTTCTGATGAGAATTAAAAAGAGAGATCATATCTCTCCTGTCTAAGCTTCCTTACATTGGCTACCTGTTAAATTCAGAATAGATTTTAAGATCCTTCTTCTCACATATAACGCTCTTAATAATCAAGCTCCATCATGCATCAGTGATCTGATTGTTCCATATGTTCCTAACTGAGCGCAATGCTCTCAGACTGCAGGTTTACTGGTGGTTCCCAGAATATCTAAAATTAGGATGGGAGGCAGATCTTTAAGTTATCAAGCTCATCTCCTGTGGAACCAGCTCCCAGCTTTAGTCCGTGAGGCAGACACCTTGTCTACTTTTAAGACTAGGCTTAAAACTTTTTGATTTGATAGGGCCTATGGTTAAAATCTGATGTTAGCCTAGATCTGGACAAGTGGGGGAGTAGAGGGAGATGGAGTGTACAGTCTGTAAAGACGGCTCTCCCTTGCCCTGCCTCCAACATGCTTCCTTTTAAAAAGGCAAGGGTATCCAGAGTTATCTCTGTAGTTATGCTGCTATAGGCTTAGACTGCTGGAGGACACACTGACTACTTTTCACACTCTACTACTTTCTTCTACAATCTGCTCTTCAAATGTATTATTTCATGCTATTTCAGCTGTTAACTTTATTTTCTCCCCAGTGTTTTTCTCTCCAGAAGAAGCTACAATGATGTTCTGCTGAGCTGTGGTGGCCTCATGGAGGGGGGCATGGTCTAGCACACTGCTGCTAACCACTAAAACATTCTCCCTCTCCTGATAACAACTTTTTGCTTTCCTTGACGTTGGATGTGCTACTACTAGTTTATCCATTTAATTATGGATCCACTAGGATAAATACAATAAAGTTTATCTCTCACCAAATAGAATATTTACTAAGAAATCACAATGTAACCATAGACACATTGCTTGGTGTGTGTGTGTGTGTGTGTGTGTGTGTGTGTGTGTGTGTGTGTGTGTGTGTGTGTGTGTGTGTGTGTGTGTGTGTGTGTGTGTGTGTGTGCGTGTGTGTGCGTGTCTGCTCTGTCTTTTCGATCCCCAGTGAGTCGTGGTGGATGGCTGCTTATAATGAGCCAGGATCCATGCTGTAGTTATTTTTTAAAACACAGAGCAGTGTTTGTTTACCTGTTTTCCCACTACGTTTCGTTTGCGGCTGCAAACTTCCTCAGGCTGACGCTGATGGTGGCGTCACTTCCTTCTCCGTTTATCTGTGGGCAGCAGAGGACGTTGTCACCCTCTGCTGCCCGCTCTCCCCTCTCCGACGATGCAGTCCCATGCGCGGTCCAACGTGTAAACTCCATCTTCCCTGTTCATGGTCCCACCTCCACGTCTCCTTATCTCGATTGCTTCTTCTATCCATCTTTTGTATTTCTGTTGTTCGGTGTTTATGATCCTTTTGTTGTCCCAGTCCATTATATGGTTTTCTCTTGTGCAGTGATCTGTTACGGCTGACTTCTTTATTGTGCTTTCTGCTTCTTCTTTTGCTGCTCTTGTGTGTCTTCGACTTGCCTCTTTCTCGCACTCCTTTCTATGTTCTATTGTTCGTGTGTTGAGTTGGCGTCCGGTTTCTCCTATGTATGTTTTATTGCAGAGTTTGCATGGGATTTCGTAAATGACTCCACATTTAAGTCCAGCTGGTATCTTGTCTTTTGGGTGCACTAGTCTGTTTCTAACTGTTGTGTAGGGTTTTGTTGGTGTGTTTATGTTGTGTTTTTTCATTGTTGCTCTTATTTTTTCTGTTATGCCTCTGATGTATGGTAGGGTTATCACTGGTTTTGGTTCTTGTCTTTCTGGGTTTCTGGTCCTTTGCTTTGGTTGTTCTTTTCTTTCTGTTGTTGTTTGTTGTTTTCCTTTGTTTGTTGCCCATGTCGGGTATCCGCAGGTCTTTAAAGCATGTTGTATGTGTTTGTCCTCTTGTTTACGGTCTCTTTCTTCTGTTATCATGTCCGCTCGGTGATATAATGTTCTGATTACTGACATTTTGTGTATGGTGGGGTGTTCTGATGCCCATAACAGATATTGGTCTGTGTGTGTTGGTTTCCTGTATGTGTTTATGTTTAGGGTCCCGTCAGTCTTCCTGGTTATTTTCATGTCCATAAATGCTATGCTGCCTTCTGTTTCTGACTCATAAGTGAAATTTATGCTGCCTGTGTCGTCAATGTTATTCAAGTGTTGTGTTAGTGTTTCTGTTTGTCCTTTTGGTATGATTTCCAGTATGTCGTCTACGTAGCGTTTCCATAGTTTTATTTTACAGTTTGGGGGGGGGGGGGGGGGGGGGGGGGCTATGGCTTTTTGCTCTAGGTCTTCCATGAAAAACTGGCACAGGGTGGCTGATAACAGGTTACCCATGGCGAAGCCTTCCAGTTGTTTGTATATTGTGTTATCATATGTCAAGTAAGTGGAGTTAGCTACCAGTCCTATCAGTTGTCCTATGTCATCTGCTGGGAGGTTTGTTCTTTTGTGTAAAGTTTTGTCCTGTCTGATTCTGTTAACTACTATGTCTATGGTTTTTTGGGTTGGTGTTTTTGTGAACAGGGATGTGACGTCATGTGAGATGAGTATGTCGTTGTCTTCTATTGTAATCTCCTTTAGTTCTTTTGCCAGTTCTATGCTATTTTTGCAGTGTTGATCTGTGTTTCCTAATAACGGACTGATGATTTTGCTGATATCTCTTGCCATGTTGTATGTTGGTGTACCTATACTGTCTACTATTGGTCTAAGTGGGGTGTTTTGTTTGTGTATTTTTGGCGTTCCATATATTCTTGGTGTTATGTTTGCTGTAGGAGTCCAGTGTTTGTACATTTTTTCTGTTATTTTGCCTTTTTCTTGTAGAGGCTTCAGTAATTTTTTCATGTCTTTCTTAATTTTTTCTGTTGGGTCTTTTTTAAGTATTTCATATGTATTTTTGTCCTCTAGCATCTGTTTCATCTGTTGTTTATATTTTTCTCTGTCCATAAATACTGTGGTTCTTCATTTTGTCTGCCGGTAGAATAATTATCTGTTCGTTTTTGGATAAAGCTGTCATGGCTGATTGTTCTTCTTTTGTAATATTGCTGTGTTGAATTTGGCTGTTTATTAATATCCCAACTACGTTATTTCTAAGTTGTGCTTTCTTTCCCTCATCTGTGATCTGTTGACATGCTAGTTCAGGGAGGGGAAGTTCTGCTCACACAGCTTACAGTGGAAGTCCGCTGGAAGAGAACCAGTCTGAGGAAAAGTAGAAGCTGCTGGAGGAGACGAAGACGGGGACAACCCGAGGTCCATGGAAGAGCTGCTGTTGAGGTTATTCCCCTCGGCAAACTCTCTGAGTCATACTGAAAAGTTCATCGCCTGCAGATTCCCATTGGAGGAGGTGGAGTGAGTCTGATGGGAGCGGTGGTGAAAAGCAGAAGCAAGAGCCTGGCTGAGGTGGCGTGGGCACAGAATGGCTCCTGCAGGTTTGCTCTGTTTATGGCCCCCTCCTCTTCCCCCCATGTCGTCGTCCTCACCCTCTTGGTAGATGCAGAAGGAGTGTGTGTGCTGAGCATGTTGTAAGAGTGTCCACGCAGATGAAAACACACCTTCACACTGCAGGCAGGTGAAAAACAAGGGCTCATCTAGAGCTGGTTTTCTAAGCTCCGCCTTCAAGATCACATCGGGCTCCTCCACCCAGGACTGGTCCCTGGTGCCAGCACCTCTTCGGAGCTTGATGAAGCCCGGTCCAGGTTTGGCGTTGGTGACCTGATGGTGCCCGGCTCGGCTGGCAGGTGAAGGTGGGGTGGCGGCAGCGTCTGTGACTTGGTTTTGTGAGCCGCAGCCACCCTGTTTGTGCTGGATGAATGCCAGGATGTGAGCAAGCGGGAAAGCCTGGCTGCACTGGCCAAAGGTCAGCAAGTCACGATCTTCATCAGGCAAACAAACCGGTGGAGGAGGAAGAGGAGGCTGGTCACCTGAGGAGCCTGTGCCTCCCTCCATATCAGGAGCATCTTGAATAGCACTCAGGTGCTGAGGTCGGCTTCCAAGTTTGCGCTTGGACATTGTGTAGAGCGTTTGGCACCTTTTCAGGGTCCCAAACCAAACCCAGTCCAGCTGGTCCTTCTCTGATAAGTTGACTGACACTCGAGCGGCGGGGACGGACTGATAAGACTTGCTGGCCTCCGCCTGGACACAAAAGAGCAGCAAAAGAAGAAGCAGGAAGCACAATAAAGAAGTCAACTTCAAACCACTTCACAAAGATCAATAAACAAAATGAAAGATCAATCAAAAATGAAATATCTAATAGTTTGTCAGCCTGGCCACAGTATAAAACTTAAGATATTCGACAATGACAAAAACAAAACGGCTTACTCTTAAGATGATCCGATGGCGTGTTTTGGTACGGAAGAGAAAAACCGTCTTTTAATTTTGAAGCAATCGTGTGGTTGATCGCTTCTTCTGAACTTATTAGAGAGAGAACGGAAGAAAAAGGAGATAGAGGAGAGAAAAAACTCTTGTTTATCGAACCCGAAGCGTCCCTCAGAGTTCAAACGAACCAGATGACGGTTCCGTTGCTTTTCAGCCGTCAGGCCTCGTTCCTGAGTCCAGAGCTGTAGCAGAAGTCTCTTCACACCAGCTGAAACTGGGACAAAAGAGAAATAAGTTTCGTTCTTTGCTGGGATTTATAGCTCTTCAGCGGCGGGAGGAAGCTGTGGGTTCCGGGGTTCGACGTCGCTTTGGTGACATCATCACGTTGCTTCCGGGCAGAGAATCATGGGACATGGAGTTGTTGCTGGTGCTGATTTTTAATATGCCTTCTTATTCACGCTCCAGGGCATTTTTGGCACAGTCTTTTGGAGAAATTACTGCATAGTAATTTTCTCATGAGGGCAGACCCTCAACATTCCCCCTTTTGGTTTCGGGGATCGCGCCAGAGCTCGATCGTCGGAAGCACCGATGGGTTCTTCCCTCAGGAACGTTGGTCGCCTTGGACGCCTTTGACCTTTGTCTTGGATCCTGGTCAGGCACAAAAACAAAAGAGGATAGGAAACGGGATAGTCCCCACGCGCATAACGAGGAGGAGCCACCCACGCAGGTGGTACGCAATGATGTCGTCATCCATGCAGGAGGTAGTAGTGTAGAAGAAGGGAGGCCAGCGGGCGGTTGATTCCATGAGGAGACAAAAGGGGCAAGGATCAGGCAGTCCACAGTCCATGGGGACAAGGGGACAGGGATCAGGCAGCCCATAATCCATGGCTTAACAGGGGCACCCGTGAGGGGATAAAAGGGCATATCTCCGCCGGCCATACAGTTCAGTTCATAGGCACCCGTGAGGGGATAAAAGGGCATATCTCTGCCGGCCATACAGTTCAGTTCATGGGGCACGAGGTTATGTACGAGGTCCATAGTTCACAAACGCGCATTGGCCTATGTGGTCCCAACATTCCCCCCTTTTTGGTCCAAAGGCTGGATTAGGACAGTCTTTGGGCTAAAACAAGGACCATAAAACTAAGAGGTACTACATTGTGCTGGGCGGCTGACAGATTCACTGACAGACTGAGCTGGGCCGGCACATAACCACTAGCTAAAATGTGACCAAGTAAGAAACAAAAATATAGAACCCCCCCCCCCCCCCCCCAAAAAAAAAAAAAACATATCATAACATCCAAGAAAAATCATAGCAACCCTGAGGTATCATAAAATACATTCTTAGGTAATACATTCAGTGTGTAGCTTATAAAGAATGTGACATAATGCAACACTCAGATAAAAATGTGAGGTAGAGTAAAGTGAAACTACTCTTAGGGTTACAGAATAACAAAGAAAATGTTGCTCACCCCCTTTAGACCGATGTGGTACACTCACGCCTGGACTCTCTCCAAACGCTGTCGCGAGGCACACCGTAGGTGAGCAGGTGCATCTTATCCTGGAGTTTCTTAACACGCCTGTAGGCGGAATAAGCTATCACGGCCGTGATGAGCCATCCCAGCCCCAGGGCGACCAATGTGCAGATTAAGGTTGTATAATCTGTGTCTATGTAGCGTCTTGGGTATCTATTCATGAGCATCAGAGTAAGTTCATGTGGGGTTTGTGTGAACTTAACAAGTTTGGTCCCTTCAGTCAGCAGTTGTTCGTCAATTTCTAAATCGATGGTAAAGTTATAACCCTGGAAAGCGTCCATGATCTCAATCTCTGAGTCATGCTGTTCGAGGTTGAGATGATGGAGTGCCAGGTTGCCCAAGTGTACGATTGCACCTGGCAGAACTGAGAGGAAAAAGGTTTGGTTCGGCAGTTGTAACTCAGTGGCAACGTCATGCTGGTCATAAGTTACAAGGGCCGAGTCTGCTGGGGTGCTGATAAGCCATCTGTCACCTGCATGCTCACTCTAGTATCCATGTCCACATCTTTTAATGTAACCGTTGCTTTGCAATGCTGCAGGGGCGCGTCGCTCCTGAGGCCACACTGATAATTGGCAAAGTCCCGGACAAATGGGTTACCAAGACACACCCAGTGAATATCCTTGGTTTTTGTGCATAGATCTAAGTTAGGAGTTAGACAGAGTTTGCTATCAGCATTTTGGTAAGCTAGGAAGCTCAGACTGTTAAGGTGGAAATGCTTACTGTCTTTCCAAAAACCAACGTTTAGCATAGACTTAAGCCTATAGATGTGAGGTGTCTCAATTATGGGAACATTTAACATGAAACTGAGTTCTAATTTTTCTGCCTCAACATGAATGGGAATTGCACTGCCTAAGCTGTACGCAAGGTGGATTTGTGAAGTGTGTACAGTAGAGGGAGTAGCAGCTGTCAAAATATCTTTGAGCAGATCCAGTGGTACCAAGTACGTGGGAATGCGACCTTCAACCAGGCTGTCCAGAGTGGAACTTATTTCCCTAAGCAGGTCCTGCATCAAATCTCTCACCACTCGTGTGTACACAATATCCTGATGTATGGTGTCAGACAAAGTCTTGATTGCATGTAGAGATTCATTAATCAGAGCAGAGTGTAGGTTGACAGTTACAAGAGTACCCTGTAAGGTTTTAGTAAGTACATCCTGTTTGCGGTCTAGGAGGACGAGGTTCCCCTGGATCTCTGGCATCTCGTCCTGGAGTTCGGCAATGTGTCGTTGGACAGTCTTAATACTAATTGTGTTAGCTGCCGAAAGTCCAACTGAAAAGAGGGATCCCACCACGGACACTGCAGCAATGAGTCCACCTAGAAACCTTTTTGGGTGGTTATTTCCGCTGAGGTCGTCCTCATTGACCATGAATTTTTGAATTTGTGCCAATATGTAAGTGGTGATGCGCTTGGCATGTTGAACAGTACCAATACTGGATTTGTGAGGAGGGGGGGACAGGTATCACGTGCTTATGATAGTCGTCCCATGGGTCCAAACGGACAACAATACGTTGCGTGTGTATGCGGCAGTGTGTGATCAACAATCCGGGGTTGTCTTGGAGGACCATCCCGGTTGGTGGTCCCGGTTGAATGATGGCTGATGGAGTTGCTGCCGTTGATCCAAAGAGGATGCAGAAGATCCAGAGGAACTCCATCCTGTAATGGAGAGACTCGTGGTTAGTGAAAAGAACGGCGGGGGGGCCTTGTTCTTTGTCGGTTAGTACATGTTAGTGGGTTAGACGTGCACTTCACCGCCTTTCCATTTCCATGCATAGAACTATGTGGAGACTAGGTCTACCTCCTGCGGGGAGTCTGGTCTATGTATAAGCGGGGATGGTTTGACATAGGGTTTGATTTGGTTCGCATGCACCCATTTGTAGACAGGCTCCTGTCTTGCTTTGGTGATGTGTAATATGTATGCAACTGGAGAGAGTTTTGCCATGATCTCAAACTGTCCTGCCCAGCAGGACAGGAACTTCTTAGCTTTGCCTGCCGGTTGGGCGAACCGGAAGTAGAATACTTTGTCACCCACCCCGTATTCGCGGCTGGTTGTCTTTTGGTCGTAGTAGGCTTTAGCGCCTTCTACGTTGGTCTCCAGTTTCTTCTGAGCATGCGCAAACGTAGCTTTGAGGTGTGTTTTCAAGTCTGCCACATACTGATGAGCGGTATAGGCAGTGGCAACACTGACATCCTCTGGGTGATACAGGAGGTGCAGTGGTAGGGTCATCAGTCTGCCGGTCATCACCTCAAAGGGCGTAACCCCCGTTGATTGCTGGGGAGTGGACCGTATGGCCATCAGGACCAGAGGGAGCTTAACATCTCAGTCCTTCCCGGTGGAGCAGACGTACTTTTTGAGCATGGAGACGACCATGCGGTTCATCCGTTCGACCTGTCCGGATGACTGTAGGCGATAGGGGAGGTGGAATTTAACTTCCACTCCCAGAAGTTCAAACAGGGACGTCATCACACTGGATGTGAAATGGGTTCCCCGGTCAGAGTCGATGCAGAGTGGAAGTTCCCATCGACTGAAAACGTGGTTAATCAGCAGTACAGCGGTTGTGACGGCTGTGTCATTTGGCGCTGGAAGGCACTCCACCCACTTTGTGAAACTGCAAGTCATAGTTAGCATATATTTGTTTCCTCTTGCCGATTTGGGAACTGGTCCAACCCAGTCGATCTGCAGGTGGGACCAAGGGAAGGTTATTCCCCTGCATTGCAGTGGGGCTCTAGCGAGCGGCTGGGAGGGTTGAAACTGGGCACAGATGAGGCAGCCCTGGACATAGCTATGTACGTCCTTGGACATCGATGGCCAATATGGTACTTCTGTCAGTAACGCGAGGGTAGCTTTTGCTCCGCTGTGACCTCCAACCAGAGTGTCGTTGGCATAGGCAAGCATCACTCCTCTGTGGTCGAGTGGAACAACCCAGCGCGGCGGGCTGTGGTCATCATGCATGTAAACTAACAAATTGTTTTGTAGTTTCAGGTACGCAAGCTGACGACGCAGGTTTACCAATTCTTGGCTTTCGCCAGTAGGTGATGACACGCAATTGAAGAGTGTGGAGCACATCAGGGTGATTTCGGAGCCGGTATCCAGCAGAGCATCAACCTGTATGTATCCACCTACATTGGTGCTACAGTACAAACGGTGAGCATGATCATGGTTTGTTAA